GAGTCATCAGGAGGATCTGTGAACTCTGTCCCACTCTTGGGCATTCTGCCTGCCCTGTGACCCCTCATAAGCCTATGAGAACTGCTGGTTAACCATCTGAGCACTGGTGCAGATAAGTGCGCCATGCTGAGTCTCAGTATTAGTGGATGCCTAGGAACTGTGTGGAATCACTTGGAGCTGGAGTAAGGTGAGGTCTCGAAGCCTGTTCACATAGGTGCTGGGATCTGATTTCATATACTCTGGAAGATCCAGGATGTGCTATTAAACACTGGGACATCTCCCCAACCCTCCTTTCTTATTTTCTTCCTTTTACCCTTGTGGTTCCAGGCAACCCTGCATTCACCTTCTAGATGCCTGTTTGCCTTCTGGTTCATTGCAACCAAGGATTTGGGAAGACCGAATGCCCCCACTGTTTTGGAATGTTCAAGTATCTGTAAAAAGCTCAAACAACTGTGAATGAATGGATGGATGGATGGATGGATGGATGGATGAATGAATGATATAAGGGCACTGATTTGAAGAAATCTCATGTTGGCAAATAACAAAATTGGCTAATGCCACAAATTGACTTTTAATTTACAGTTACTTATGCAATTTTTTTATATATGGAAAGAGGTAGAGAGAGAGAAAGAATATGTGTGTGTTTACTCATGCATACATCGGGTATATGGGTAAGAAAATACTATTGTACGTATATGAAGGTTTGAAAATACCAGGTAATCAGTTCTCTAATTCCATGAAGTTGAACCTGGGAATTGAACTCAGCATGTCAGTCTTGGCAGCAAGTTTTCTTTACACACTGAACCATTTTGGTGATCCATCCTCCTCTGATTTTCATTTAGAGGGACACCCTGTCATTCTTGGGAACATCAGTTTTCAGTAAATTATGGCCAATGATAATAAAATTCAAGTAGAAAACTATCGGTTCCCCTCCCATTATTGCTTTACATTCACCAAGGGCTTCCTGCGGCTAAAACTCTGCCCCCTCTGTCCTCTTCTTTTGGGCTGCAGCTGACATCCTGGGGCTGAGTTTAGCCAGCACAGGTCCTCCGCTCTGTAGAAAAGACAGGTGAGGAATTTTGATCTGTTGCAGTTTGTCTACCCTGTGTGTGACCCACAGGAAGGGCCCACACTGCAGTATGGAAGCACAAAGCACTGGAAGGGATATCAGGCACAGCCCAGTCCTGACAATCGGATCAATAAGGATCAGACACTCAGCAGCTGGTTGCCTTGGAGAATCACTTACAGTTTACATGGAGTTGGATAAGTATACTTTCAATTTTCTATAAGATTTATTTTATTTTATATATGCGTATGTGTAGTAGGAGCACAGGGCCCCTTTGTTCTGTTCCACCTGCCTAGATTACACCCGAAATAACCACACAGAAATTGTATTGATTAAATTACTGCCTGGCCCATTAGCTCTAGCCTCTTATTGGCTAACTCTCACATCTTGATTAACCCATTTCTATTAAATCTGTGTATCACCACATGACTGTAGCTTACCAGCAAGATTCTAACTTACACCCATCTCAGGCCAGAGATTCATGGCGTCTGCCTGTCTGTGCTCTTCCTCCCAGCATCCAGTTCTGTCTTCCCTGCCTACCTAAGTTTCTGCCCTATCAAAAGGCCAAGGCAGTTTCTTTATTCAACCAATGAAAGCAACATATAGATAGAAGAATCTCCCACACCACATATGGGAGCCTTCTGATGCCAGGGAAATTTGTGGAATTCGTGGAGCTGGAGTTAAAGAAGGTTGGCTGTGAAATCACCTAACATTTGTGCTGGGAACTGAACTCAGGTCCTCTAGAAGACCAAAAGTGAACTTAGCCATTGATCTATCTACTTATCCCTCCTTTCTCATTTCCTTGCTTTGTGCATAAGAAAATCCTGCTGTACAGTTGTGGAAGTTAGAAGACATGAGGGAGCTTGGTTTATCCCTAAACAATGTGGAACATGGGGATTGACTTAGCACATCAGTCTTAGCAGCAAGTGCCTTTACCCACTGTGCCATTTCTTTGGCCCACCCTGATTGGATTTTTGTTTGGAGAATCAGCATGTCCTAGTTTAAAACTTCGTTCATCAAAATATAATGACCAAAGGTAATTAACTTAGAATAGGGAACAGTCTGGCACTTCCCATTCCTCTTAACATTCCCTGCTCACTGAGAGCTTCCTGCTATTGAACTGCTGTCCCTACCTGTCCTCTCTAGGGAATCTGCAAGCACAAACTCTGAATCTCCTCTCAAACACTTATCTTAGGAAATTACAACTATTCTCTCTATTCTCCTCCTCTTATTATCCATGGCAACCTCATCTTTATGTTAGGGCACAGGTTTGCAAAATTAGGCCAGATACCTACACCCTTAATCAGGCCATATCTCCTACAGATCACTATAGCAAAGAGTGTAGAAACTGTCTGTGCTGTGACCTGACTACTCACAGTTTATAATACCTGGCTCCTCCATGTTCCTTGTCACTTACAGAACACTGAGCTACATCACCTGGTGTGAAACACCCCAGCACTGATAAAAGATTATATAAGATTAGACCTTAACTTTCTACTGGGGATTAGGAAAAGACTGCTAAATGATGTTGCCCAGAAACAGAGGGTGTTCTTGGAAGGTGCTCCTCAGCTTCCCTCCATGATCACTCTCTTGGTAGCTATTTCTCATTCTCTACCTCTTTCTAGCTCTTATTTTCAAAACTTCTAAAAGTACCATTTTAGAATTTTTTTCAATGTAAATTCAAATTTTATTCTTTTTATTTTCAAAATCTGTCAAAGTCTGGGTCTTACAATTTACTTTTAGAATCAACAGCAACATAGAAAAATAAATTCCATTATTCTCTACACTACAAACTGACTTGATAACAGAAAGGTGCCCCAAAGTTAAAATGTTTCTTTTCCCACAAATGCAAATCTTTTTCACATGTAGGCAGAGAAGCCAACATTTGACCAGGAAAGGATATTTATACAGTATAAAATTGTTTCACATCATGTTTCTAGAACAATTTGAAAAGCATTTTTTCAATCCTGGAATAGATAATCATTCTAAGACTTTTAAAAGAAATAATTTATATTCATGAATTAGTTTATGATATATTTCTAAATATGATAAGTTGTTATATAATATATATTGTGCATATATATATTATGCAGTAAACTGAAATCTTGTCCAAGATGATTTTATTTCTTCTCGTCTTCCAGACTGTCATCTCTGTTGCCTTGTGTGTCTATCCTTCTAAGAAATGCTAGGCAGATCCACCTCTCTTGAACCTAGACAGGATTTTTTTTTTATTGAAAAAACTTCCGCCTCCTCCCCGCCTCCCATTTCCCTCCCCTTCCCCCCAGTCCTCTACCCCTCCCCCCACTCCCCTCCCCCTTCCCCCACTCCTTTTCCCCTCCCCTC